AGCCCACTGTGGACATTCATTTTCAAGCTTTTTAAATTTTATCTAGCCGTCTAACAGATCAGATTTGATTTAGAACAAATATTTCTATCCTGTGGTTCTAATAACTCCTACTCTTATGTAAATCTGGATCCTGTGGATATGCTCGTCAGAAAGCGAAGCTTGCACCTAAGGACAGTTGATAATTCAGGGTTATGACTCAACTCAAAAAGAGCTAAGTATTACTTGACCTTGTCTCTCCTGGTTTTGTTTTTTGGGTTTAGCCTTACAGAGAACACTGGCTGGTGGTCCTCTGAACCTGTTGTGGGAGGGGCCAGGCCAGGGACTTGAGTCTCATGCTCACTCAGGTATGTACAAGCTCTAGAGGAGCGTACTCAAACACAATATGTCTGCCACGTTTTTAATGTGCTTTTCTTCTGGAAGACCAAACCTAAGGATCAGAAGAGCTTATGAGTAACGCTGACTTGTGCTGTTGACTAAGATATATTCTGCATTAATGCTTTTCAAAGTAGCTGTATGTTCTTTTTTGGGTTATTTGTCACTCTCGGATTGATTTTAAAATGTATCCTCCACTTTCAAGTTTTCAGTTGTTAGCACTGAAATATTTCACTGTGCCTTGGGGTATGGTGGCCCCACCTTAACTGCAGGCCACACCTTTTGCATACTCCAAACCTTGGGAGAAACTTTCTTTTTTTGGGGCTGGGAGGATGCATAGAATCTGTATTCTTTCATATCCTTCATACCTTCTCTGAGTGCTAGGCTGATACAGTGTCAGGTGCTGACAGTGCATACATAAGTGTTCACTGCAAAACTTGTGGCTGCAATCAGAGGTAAGGCTGCTGTCAGACATGGAAACATCCTGATGCAGGCTTGCAAGGAGAGTCTTGGGGCCCTGGATAAAGGCAAGCACACAGACCAGCCTCCTGAAAAGTGTCAGCCACCTCAGAACAACTTGAAGTGCAAACAGGTCATAGTCTGCTTCCCTGAAAGAGATGCGCAAGGTAGGATGGCTAAGGAAGATTTTCATAGAAAGCTTTTTGAGATAAAGGCAGTCCCATAACTTGCATTTTGGAAAGGGACATCTGACCTAGGGCTTAATGCAGTTCATCTCCTAACTAACAAAAGAAAATAATGATTTTTTAAAAAGGGAAAAAAAAATCAGGTGTCCTTCAGAGGCAGGGCTTTAAGAACCACTTATTGCTTTTGTGAAGTACAGAGGCTTGTGGTGACATGTTTGGGGCATTCCTCCATCTCACTATCAGCATTTTGCCTTTCCTGTGGATGAATGCTGTGGATGTGAGTAGGAAGGCATTCTTATTGCTAGACTGGGTTGTGCTGACTGGCCAGCCGTTCTGGAAGTCAGTATGACTGAAATGTGATCGTGGGGAAAGTGGAACATGACCAATAATGACAGTACTCATGGAGAATATCATGTTAAAGCATGCTCTGTTTGTGCCCTGTGCGACACCAGCTGTGGTGCCAATGCAGTTCTGTGGGCTGTCCTGTGTAATGAGTTTCAGTGAGTGAGTGAGTATTCTGCCTGGGAACCACATCTCCTACCTCTCAGCAATGCTGTTACTGGGATAAATTGCAGGTGTGCAGAAAACAAAGCAGACTGAAAAATCATCTTTCAAGATTATAATTCACCCATACTTGAATTGTAAAATAATAAATAGCCTTTTTTTCATGTATAGGGTGTCAAGGGCAGGTGAAATACACTAAGAAAATAAGAGATTCTACACCCTAAACTTAAATAGAACTGTCGCTAGCATTAGTGAATGTCTTTTCAAGTGTACATTTTCATTGTATCTTAGCAGTCCTGGTAGCCTCATGGACAGCTGCAGGTGTGTTGGGATTCACGAGGGTTCCGTCCCATCTTCGCAGCTTTACATGTGGCCTTGAGACTGCTGGCCATGTGTCTCCAGTGAAAGAGCTGAACAAAGAGTAGCATTAAATTTACATTTCCAGTTGCAATGCAGATGCAAAAGGAAATGAGCCAAGTGGAATTGGTAACATCATTTCAAGCGCTGGCTAATGTCCGTAAGCAGCTGTGCCTGCCCTCAGACTGCAATGGGACATTCGGAGCATATTTCTTCACAAAGGTCATTGAGGAATACAACCCCCAGCATGCACTGCACGCTAAGTGTTCTAATACGGCTCTTACATCGGCCTCGCATCGGGCTTTTCCCTTTCTTAATTACGCTAACGATCTCCGGCCTGAGGCACATTGAGGAATGGCCCATCTGCGTTGGAAAAACTGTACACGGAAAGCAGCCAGCTTTTAATTTTTTTTATATATATATATATATATATATATATATTTATATATATGTATATGCTTGGGGTTGTATTTTTATTAAGGCGGCGCTGCGCTCCCTCTCTGCACGCAGACGGGTGCCAGGAGCCGCCGCCGCCTTCCTGCCGCCCTCACAGCTATCCCGGGACCGAGGCGCCGCCTCGCGGGGGCCAGGCGGCCGTACCGGGCTGCGAGCGAGGCGGAGAGGCGGGCTCGGACCCGGTGCAGGCCGCTCGGCCGTTTCTTCGAGCGCCGCTCTCGCGGCCGTCACCTTGGAGACGGGCGGGCGGGTCGGTGGTGCCGCCATCTTCCCTGCGGCGGCGCTGGGTGGGTGACAGGGAGAGCCCCGGCTGTGGAGGACGGTGCGGTCCGAGGAGCTCGGCCACAGAATTCCATGAGGAATGGCTGGGAGTCGGTGACTGCCGGCGGCTGTTGGCCCTGCCGATCCCTTCAGCCGCTGTGGCTCAGTCAGGTGTGCGGCCGGCTCACGGTTGTGCAAAAATGCAGTGTAGAAGCAAAGACTGGCCTTGTGGTGTAGGACTGGAAAGAGCTGTTGCTTTAAATGGGGAAAAGCCTAGCCGGTAGCTGGTCGGCTTCGTCATTCACACCCACCCGGTGCGAACCGAGCCAGCGCATGGGGTGCAGCCATCATCTTGCTGCTGCTTTACCAGTGTCTGCAGCAGCATTCAGCCCAGGTCTGCCTGCCAGCCGGGCGTCCCTCGGCGTGTGCAAAGGCAGAGAAGGAAAAGTGCCTTGCATTTAATGCAGAAGTAAGGGATTTGTTCTTTTTTTCCTGCAAATGTATTGCATGTTGAAAAGGAAGCAGCGTGCCCGAAGCAGCTGTTGGGCTCACCTCCCTTTGCTGCACATGCAGGCTCTGTGCTGGCAGCAGTGGAGCTGCAGGCCTTTGCTCTGGCCTTGCTGGGCCAGCCAGCAGGGCTGCAGGCAGAGCATCCCAGAGCAGTGCCAATGCATGGGCTGCTATCTGCCTTCACCTCCCCTCCAAGAGTTTGTAAGGTGTTAACTTTCAAAAGGGAGGCCCTGCTGTGTATTTCTGTCAGTGATTTGGGAGTTTTAAAGAATTCATGCATGAAAAATGACTGTAGGAGCTGTATACTCCCATGTGTGGGTAACGACTACATGGGAACACAGATCACAGCAGTTTTGCACTGAGACTGCTGCCGTTTACATGCTCTCTTTGGGAACGTTATGAAACGTTTTTAAATACTGGTGCATGTTAATGCATTGATTTCAGTCAGCCCCTTTTTGTCCCACTTGAATTTGTTCAACTTAACAGCTCGCGCGTCTCATGTTTGCTCTAAGATATGCCTAGCAAATTAGACAAATTAAAAAACGCATGCAAAAATGCACCCCTATGCACATGTATCAGGTTTGTTATTTATTAATGGACTCCAATTTCCGTACGATAGCCTACATTATTTTTTTTTAACTTTGGCTCAATGGGTAGTTTATGCCAATTACATGTAGTTTAACAGCTTTGAAATCTGTTTTTGCTTTTCTTATGCATAAAGACATGGATTCTGTTTCAGGTTTTAATTAAACTCTACACTGACTTTAAAGATTCTATTGTCCTTTCATTTAAATGGGATTTTTGTTAGATCTTTAACAAGGCCTCTGTGGGGTAATAAATCTAAGCAATTGTCCTTATTAGGAGTAGATTATTCTCAAGAGATGGAAAGTAACAGAAGTAAGTAAAACCATTTGTAGAGACTGAACTAAGGCTTTTTCTTCCTAAACATTAAACAGACTTGCAAATGACTTGCTTGGGTGCTCAAATTAAATTAAATTATATTTTGTTTATTTTTCACATTTCTAGTGGAGGCTATTTGCGTTTACTTAAACTTGGAGTTTCGTTGAGCAGAATTCACTCCAGGGTATGGATCCGTACCTTCAGTAAACAAGCCGTGCATGAAATTCAGTACGTGCTGCAATTTCTTTTGTTAGTAATTGTTGCCACATTTTTATATTATGGGACACGCAGACCTAGTGAGTATATTCTTACTCCCTCATGTGTTCCACAGTAGGTGAGTCTTGGCTGGAGAATTTGCCTGTCATTTGCCGCACACCCCAGCCAAGCAGAATTGCAGAGCACATAGCAGCATGCAGTTTGTCCAAGGGCCTGCTATGTGCTCATCTAAAACTGCAAGTTGTTAGTCAGGGAAAACTTGCCACTAAAGCACCCTTAGCCTTCAGTTTACCTGTTGTCAGAAGGTGAAAGGGCTCTAGTGGTTCTTTTTGTTTGAGGTGTTTGCTTCATTCGAGGGTATTCTCCACTTTGTAGGTGTCCAGACCTTGTTTTATTCCCGACTTTAATCATAGGTTGGCTGCTGCTGCGGCCTGGCTTCCATTGCATACAATCATATCCTGAATTTTAGCCATACATTTAATTCCTAGCTTTGCTAAACACATCATAGTGCAAATCTTTTCAAGCATCCACTTACTTGAAAGTTCCATTTTTGTCGTGCTAGGCTGGGGATGCTCATTTGTGGGACTCTAATTTACCCAAAATCAACTGGTGAAGGCAGAGATCTTGTGCAAGGACATGCAGTGAGACATGTGACATGAGAGGCTGAGTTGTTTTCGCTGGCTTCAGTTCCCGAGCTGCTTGAGCTGCTGCCCTCTGCAGAGCATGCTGCAGGAAGCTGGACTCCAGGGACACGGCTGCACGTGACGCGACCCACGTCCGCCTGCACCGGGAAGGAGCCCACAGCCCTGCTCAGGAGCAGATGAAGACAAACCTGTCTTGGTTGCTGCAGCCACCAGGTATTTAATGTCCTGAAGCTCTTCTGTCCGTGGACTGTTCTGTCCCTGTCCTGCACGCCAGCGCCTGGTAGAGCCAAGTGCTGTGAGGCTCTGATCTGCTTCTGTTCCCTACCTGGTACATGGCCATGTTTCTCCATTCTGACTTCTCAACCCTTCTTGTCTCTGCGTGACACTGTAGTGATACTTTGGGGCAAGAACATAGTCTATATGTATAATTTCTAATTAGGTATTTTTTTCAATTTCCTGGGCAAAACAGCAAGTTTTGTTCCGTCTTCATCTCTTCTTTTTTTCTGTAACTCAAGTGGCAAAGAGTTTGGAATGGTAAATCATGAGGGAGGTGGGAAATTTGCTGCAAGTGAAATCTGTGGCTCTGATGCCTCATGGCTTCTCTGTGCTCTGATAGGAATTTAGAAAAACAGAAGGTACTGACAGCAAATACGTCACCTGGTTGCTGTTCTGTTTTTGGGATAGAGCTGGAGAAAGAAAGAGGGCAAAGAGGAAGCTCATAGCTGAGCTTATGGGCTTGGATTGCCTGTCTTCCTTCCTCCTAGTGCAGCACGGTGAGAGAGTGAGTGGCAGAGAGTCAGAGGCTGAGTCCTGATGCTGATTTAACTTTTAATGTGACACAGTGCCTAGGCCTGTGAACCAGCTGTGAGTGCTCAGGGGCAGATTCTGGGGAAATGAAGAGTCTCTGTCCTGTATTGTGTGGCATTAGATCTCCTGTTTTAGCCAAGGCATCTTTGAGATGAAGTAATACTGTATCTCAGCCAAAATCTATGGGGTGTAGCTATGGCATCTCACCAGTATGTGGGATTTCCCCTCTGTTTCCTTCAACAGTAGCAGGGCCAGGAGCTAGCTCAGCTCTGGAGAGGGAGGCTGAAAGGGCTCAGCTCTGCACCTAAGAAGTTTGTTGCTTCTGTTCCTCCCTCCCCCAACCCCTGTTTCTGGGGACATGAGCTGTTAGCAGGAGCTGGGACTCTGTGCCTGCAATATGAAGGCAACGATTGCTTGCTGACGTGCACTATCTGACAGTTGAAAGGACCTCTGCTTGCCTGGCACTCTAAAGCTTTCCAGTGCTGGCTACGGGCTGCAGTGCCAAATGCATCTTGTAGATGCTGTTTGCATATTGCCCACCCAGAGAAGCAGCCACGTTCTGTCCTGTTTGCAGCCACCTCCCCTGAGGGCAGCAGGCTGTGTGGGTCTGGAGCACCTGTGCAGCACAGGTGTGAAAAGCTGCCCTGCTCCTGCCCCGAGGCACAAAGCTGCCTTCATTCTGCCAGGTGGAGCGGAAAAGCTGGGGTCCGGCTGTGGGACACATCCCTGAGCATCTGTGTGATGCAGGTGACGTGTATTAAGAATGCCAGTTTGCTTCTCAACATGAGCAGATTGAGACTTAGGTGGCAAAGTAATGGGAATGCTAAATGATTACTGCTAACCCTTACTAAGATGACAGCAAATCTCCTCTATATTAATGTTCCGCTTTTGAGACTAGGTTGAATCTTTCTTTATTAAAGAAGGTGGAAAGCCTAGATGTAACTCTTTAATCCTCAACTGGAAAATACAATTCTGAAATCTATTATCTTAGGAATGCAATAATCAGAGTAATAACCGATATTAAATCTACTGTGAATATTATTTAAAGTACTTCCCAAATGGAAACAAAAGTTGAGAGGACAGCGTCACGCTCACTTGGACACCTGCTTTCTCTGTGCAGTGGCACACAATAGGAAGAGAGGCTGACTGATGCCTATTTTCTGCCTTATGTGATTGTTTCAGGATCTACCAAAGGCTGGAGATCATTATGATATTCATAAACACATCCATTTCCTCTTTATTCCTAGAAAAGACTGTTGGAATTACACTCTACAAATGCAGTCCTGAGCATGAGGACCCGTGGTGGTTACCCATGTGGAGTGTCCCACCTCTTTGGAAATCTGTGGCATTAAAGAGAATGTAGTCAACCCCTTCCCCTGGCCTACCTGCACCTGACATCATGTACATGTTGTTTCTCACAGCATAACAGGATTCCTGATTTTCCCTAATGATGTTCTTCCTCCTCCCCATGTTTTTCATCTGTCTTTGCCCATTTGTATAATGCATCTGCCTGCTCTGTTGTTTTCATCTCCTAATTTAGTACCCTGGTGAATTTCTCACTCTCTGCAAACCGTTAATAAGAGGCTCTGTGGCTCTGCTTGCGAAGGAAAATGCTGTGTTCCCAAGATAGCTTAGAGGCTGGTGTTTATCTGTGCACACTGTTTAGGAACTTTAGCTTTGTTTAGGTATTAAACAGGTGGAAAATGATCTCTGGACTGTAACCTGTTTGCCTCTCTAGTTTGAGAATGCAAGGAACACAGAAATTCAGAAGTTGCAGGATGTGAGAGGGCCTGTACAGCCTGAGGGAAGGGGCAGTTTGCCGTGTAAGCAGAATGAAAAAAACGGATGAATGAAATGCCAGCCCAGCCACAAAGCCTGTCAGGTCCCAGCCTGTGGGCCCACGAGGGCAGCCCTATCCTCCTTCCCACCCCCTTTTCTGTGCAGCCTGCTTCAACCCGCTGCTATGCTTGGTGGCTGAAGAGCTGGCAGAAATGGGTGTGTGCCTGAAATACCCTCATGCTGTGCAAGGCCGAGCTGGCTGCCCGCGTGTAAGGCGAGGGGAATTCTGCTTGCTGCTGCCATTTTTGTGCTGCTCTTGCAAGAAGCCAGGGTTCGTGTAATTGCTTCGATCCAGCCAAAATTCCTGTGGCTTGCGCAGCCCAAAGGAGCACAGCGTGCTGTGGTGGGTGGTGGCCAGGTCCAGCCCCATCAGGCTGCCCGAGGGACAGGGGACATGGTGGAGGCAGTTGTTGGGGTGACAAGGGGAGGGTGGGCTGACGCAGACCGAGGGGCTCAGCACAGTGCTGATGGGAGTGTGACTCCTGGTGCATTAGGGCCTGCTATTTTAGAGCGGGGATGACACTGCTGCAAGTGCTGTGTGCGTTAGGCAATGCCCAAGGTCTGTCTGTGCCCACTTATTAAAGCCGTGTTGGACCAACAAAGTTGTCCCTTTCGTTTGTGCTCCCGGCTAGAAGCTTTCACTGGATAAAGTAATCACTCTCCTTTCTGTGCTAGGGCAGCCAGAATCACCCTGTAGCTGCTCCTCTGACTGGGTAAGGGCTGCTCTTGGCCTCAGCAGGTTTCTGGAAGCACCCTGCAGGCCGTATCTCCTGGCATAGATGTCTTGTGCCCTCGAGCCTTCTTGAGCAGCAGTGCAGGAGGGAGCCTGGTGCTGCCAGGACAGTGGATTTAACTCTTTGTTTTCTAAATTCAGTGTCCATGTGACACCGAGGGAAATAAACCCCTGGCCCCTCTGTACAGCCCCATGTACCTCCTGCTGCTGCTGTTAGTAATGCTGCATGCAGTCCCTCCGTGCAGGCTGGGAATCAGAGAGCAGGTGGCAGCAGGCAGTGTTTGAGTCTGGGCAACAGCTGACAGCGCTGCCGGAACTCGCGGTCAGGTAACTCAGAGGTAACCGTCAGCCTCAGTCAGCAGCAGCGTTGTAAACTGAAGCAAACAGTGTAGCCCTTGCTTTTTCTAGAGGGGGTGGTGCAAAAGGAAATTGAAGTAAAAATTAATTTTGAAGTGAGTCAAGGCTTTTTGCAAGCTGCTTTCAAATCTCTGATAATAACAGAACCTATTTAAAATAATGGAAAGCTGCCATCTGCTGGCAAAAAAAGTAATGCACATAATGAAGAAGCAGACTTCAGAAATGATAAACAATTCTTTTGTATTTGACGTGCCACAGCAAATATATATGTGATGTGGGAGCTGCATATATTTATTTTACTGTTTTCATCTCCATTTGCATTTTCATATAGAATATGCTAAACAGATGCATATAACATAACTAACTTTAACGACAAGAGCAGAAAACCAAAGACAATAAGAATAAAGAATGAGGACTAATAAAAGCAGATGAGCGATCGGGGTGGTGACAGCCTCCAAATGTGTCCTATTTACATTGCTAATAAAGAATCGCATGTACTTCCTTCTTTGATCCCCCCAGCAGACCCTCCTGTATGACCAGAATTGTAGCACTGGGAAACATTTCCCAGCTTCTTCAGTGTGATCTCTTTGTGTGTGGTTTCTTAGTTAAGCTTGTAAATAGGAAGCAGGGAAGCGGGTCTTTAATTGTTTCTGATTTAAGTAGGTCACCTTCACCAATACCCAGATCTCCCATGTTATAAGCTAGGCTGACTGTTGAATGAATGTAGGAAATACTTATTACACAAATACGAGCAGAGAAAATAATTCAGCAGAGGACCACTCCCACATTATATGGCCACTTACACAACTGGGCTCCATAAATCCCAGGTATGAGTGCACAGCAGGGGAGAGACCATCAGATTTCATGTTTGCATAGTGCCTACCAGGTAGCTGTGCTGAGCGCCCCTGGTCCCCGAGGTGCTGCTGCACTATAAATAGCAGTATTAGCGTGAATTACCTCCTGTGCAAACACCAGGCCGCTTGGCTTTGTCATGCATGCAGTTTTCCTTTACGGTTTTGGTTACTATAAACATAACCCGTTGTTTCAGCAAACCGATTTTGTCATAGGAAATGCTTAAAATGGGCAAACTGAAAAATAGGTCAGCTCTTCCTTTGAAATCAGAGAGCAGTGTGCATTTATAACATTTCCCAGGTTTATTTCCTTGGAGCAGGTTTGGCAGGTATGAGAGGAAGTCAGAGATTTATTTTTGGTGCTATGTACCAGATGTCATACCTGCTTTTCTGAGACAGCGGCTTTTATCTCCAGCAGTACCTGCTTTAGCAGTGATGAAAGAAGTGACTCGAATCCCATTTAGAGCATGTAGTGTGCGCTGTTTGTATGCTGCTGAAGGGAAGGAGAGGCTTCTTTGGGAAGCTCCAGGCAGAGTCTATGCATCATCATAAAGCGAACGTTTGCATCCCTCCTGGCAGCATTTTTGCCTCTATGAAATGAGGAATTAGTGCACACAAGTCCAGGG